AGGTTGGTGGGTTGGTGGGTGGGTTGGTTGGCAGGTTGGTAGGTGGGTTGGTGGGTTGGTAGAGTAGGTAGTGTTTTTTAAGAACCTACCAGGATAGATGAAAGGCGCTCCATTCCACAGGTCAAACACATCAACTGTCAGGTAACAAACTGCTAAAAGAATGAAAGCCATGGATCCTGTAGCAAAGATGAAGGAGACAGACCTGCAAGACATATGCAAGATATATGGAAAAAAGTAAACACCTTGATAATGATTGCTTACAAAAGATGGTGTATGTAATATTATTGATAGACAAGATTACTGATATAGGACAGTACCATAGGTTTTTGTTGATGGGTATGAGCCCCTCATTCTGGGTACCTCCACTAAGACCAATAGCCAAACAACCCTGCAATCATTAAAGTAAGAGTTGGAGAAGTTAGTATTTCCTATTTGATTTGAACCCTGCAGCCTGTTTCTGCAACCAATACTCTTGAGGTACTACAGTAGCTATGAATAAGGTAAACACACAAACATAAAATAAGATGCAAAACAGACAGATGACCAGGACTGGGTACATACCAGTATGACAGACCAGACAAGCCAGCGTGACACTCTAGCCCTGTGCGTGGCGTATGTGTAGAGAGTTATACCAGCCTGAAAAAAAACCATGCATGTTACATCACCAGCACTATCATTATCATCAGCAGCATCATCACCATCATCATCATCACCATCATAACCACTAAAGATTATGATAACTTCACAAGCAGATCTTTTACCTGTACTCCCAGAAAGACAAGAAAGATAGATGTGAGAGTACCAAGAGCTCCTTCTGGATCATGATACACAGTCACTCTGTACAGGTCCTACAACATCAAACAAACAATCAACTCATTACAGTTATTTTCACACAAAAAAAATTGTACAAATAGTTTGTATTCTCAAGAAATTATTTACAAATATATATGGACTGAGTGGAATATATGCTTGCGAACATGTACTGTACCTTAAAAGTTCCTTTATGATACACATGATCTTTGAAGATCCACTCATCAATTCTACTAGCAACACCACCAGTACAGTTATATGCCTCAGGATAGCCTTCTCCAATACCCCCTGGGCCTGTATACCCACTAGAAAATATAGATATTATGTATTAACATTATTACTAGCAACACCACCAGTACAGTTATATGCCTCAGGATAGCCTTCTCCAATACCACCTGGGCCTGTATACATGTACCCACTAGAAAATATAGATATTATGTATTAACATTATTACTAGCAACACCATGCACCAGTAGTCATACGCTTGGTTCAATTGCCATAAAAAGGTGGATTAATAGTTTTAGAAGGGCTACCTACATGGGGCAAGATTTAACCTTGATTGCATAGGTGAAGATGATGTAGATGACGAGGATCATGATCATGAAACACCATTGCGGCCACAAGACTACCACATCACGAATAGGATCCCACCATTTGCCTGTAGGCTGCATATGAAGAGTTAATCTATTAGATGGTCATCTCTCAAAACCTCAACAGACAAACAAACAAKCAAACAAACAGATGAACAATAGAAAAACAAATAACTAAACAAAAATTTAAAAAACAATAAATAAACAAACAAACAACTGAACAAATAAACAATGCAATAAACAATCAGACAAACGGACAAACAAAGAAAACAAACAAATACAAAGTAGATTTGCATTGGTTACATCGTACCTGTGAGTCTTCATTTGGTCCTGCAATAAGCTGAACTAAAGCTACAACAAAATAACAAGCTGCAAATCTCTGGAGTACTCCTGGTACACGGTAAATTGTTAAATCCCCCACTGAAACAAATAATAATAATTTGTCAGAAATAGGAATAACATACACTTCAACAGATCTACAGATGAAATATTWAAAAAAACATTTACTTACAGTTACTAGTGAAGAGCCCAAGGAGAAATAGAATGACAGTCCGCTTAATGATCTTAATAAAGATGTGGCGTTTCTTGACTTGACGTTGTCTTAATCCACGGAATGATAGTGTGATRGACACACCCATGATCCACATAAACCTGGCAAAGAATTTGAAAGAGTATTCAGGTTATGCTGTATGTATTGTTAACTATCATATCATACGTGGATATATGTTGGATACATTACCATGGAAACACAAGATCAGCAACTGTCAATCCTGAAAAAAAAACTATTGATCTCAGTACTAGGAAAATAAATGGCTGACATGTGTTGAAAGGTTTTTCCCTCCAAAATGCTCTGAAAATCCTTTCAAGTCATACATGTAGACAGCTTTCTTGAATTCACTTGAGTGACCATGAAACAATAGTTGCCAATAAATCCAAGCCAAGGTTGGATTTAATAAACGTTTATTGGAAAATAAATAAAATGTGGTTAAATAAAATATTTAAGCAAAGTTAGACTTGAACTAAGTTGCCTGTTATCGCAAGTATCTGTCATCAAAAGGCTATAGCTTCGCGGCCATCTGATAAGCAAATTAATGTCTCACGCAATGAGATGAATGATGAACAGATGGTATCTGGGGACGAAGCTTGCATCGGGTGCTATCCAATTTCGCTAACGCCACGTGCTATCCGATTTCGCTAACGCTATGCGCTATCTCATATCGCTAACGCTAGCTTACGCAGTTTGTACGCTACACCAACGCTATTTGTTTTCCCACCCACCCTCCACTAAGGTAAGTATAGGTAAGTATTCCACTGCCAAGTCAGTGTGACGGTGCTAGGTGGGAGGTGATAGGGTTGCCATAGTAACCGCTGACCTCCGCCGAGTTCCCGAGGCTCCTCCCACCCAAGCACCAACGCCAAGCTCATCTACGTGTGATGAGTTTAATAAATAATAAAGAAACAATGCGATTAGCAGTGTATTCCACAGAGTGGCTCTTCTTTCACTTGGATTCCAATTGGAATTTAGAAGTTGATTTTTACAGAGGGAGGAAAACTGGAGAATCCTAAAAACTAAATCCTAAAATTGAATGTTTTGATGCAAAGATGAATGTAATTGGCCAGAATATACTGAAATACTAACCATTCCATCTAGCATGATTAAAGAAATAATAACCACCTCCTCCATAGTTGACAAATATCATGATTGTCAAAGCTATCCTGAAGCAAAATGATAACACACTATTTAGATACAGATATATGCAGTAGAGGGTACTGTTTAGATATACTATTATACTAAAAATAATATATTGAAGAGAGGGTGGACATTGGGTAGATGATTGCATGGATAAAATGGATGGTTGGTAGATAAGTGCACGGCTGCTTAAAGTTGTTATGGAGTACAGTACAGTACAATAAATTGTATCCTTACCCTCTAAAAGTATCCAGTGAATTTAGTCTCTTTTGTTTGGCAGGCTTTTCTGGCTGTGTTACAAAATATATTTATACAATTTTACTCTTCATTCTTATTCTTAAACTCCAAGGTCGTTGGCTAGCCACCCAATATCAAGTACCCAATCCATTCCCCCCAAGATCCACCCTTGATTATTTGCATGGCAGTAGATATCAGGAGCTAAGATCAAGAGATATAATAAACATAAAATTTATCAAAACACACCTTTAATTCTGATACAGTGTCTTCAGTTGGTGAAACAGAGCGATTCAAATGATTAGGGGATCCCAAATCCTGCAAGGACATATCAAGGAGAAAGAAAGAAAAATGAATATAATTTGGCTAGCAAGTACAGTAACCAATTCAAATAGCTCTGTTTTCACTCTTAATCTTAGATAACTAGTTGAATACTAATGACTAATTGGTGCTCACAGCGTTAATCAAGCTCTCGTGGTCATCAAAGATCCCCCATCTTGCTCCTAGATGATACTTCCTGCAAATTATTCAATAAAAAACAATGATAATTGTGGTGCTGCATCATCACCAACACTCCATCATCATCACCATCACCATTATCATCATCATTATCATCACCATCACCATCATCACTGTCACCATCATCACTGTCACCATCACCATCATTACTTGTACACCATCACCATCAACATTACCATTATCATTATCATTATCATGACCATTACTATCATCATCATCACCATCATCATCATCATCACTGTCACCATCACCATCACTTTTACCATCATCATCATCACTGTCACCATCACCATCACTATCATCATCACCATCACCATCATCACTATCATCACTATCATCATCACTGTCATCATCACCATCACTATTACCATCACCATCATCACTATCACCA